AATAATTTGCTACAATATAATGCACAAGGACTAAGACAAACTTAAAAGTTGGATAATTTAGTTAGAGAAATTTGTCTGGAAGTAAGCAGAATTTGGTCTAATAATCTCAAAACAGTGACGCTGAACTGTAATCTGATGCATCTGTTCACTACTATCCTACGTAATAATGCCGGTTTTCATGTCTTTTGATACATCCTTTTCCTACTTTTAAACCTATTCAAACTATTGCCGACAGTGAAAAGCAACAAGAAAAAACAAAAGTTGCTTTATTTTATTTTTATATTTGAAAGTGATAAGTTCCATTCTTATCAACACTTTATCAGTTCAGCCGGTATTTTTAGTACGATTTATCTTTTCAGTGTGATTTGTATCTTATTATGCAAAAGCAGAATTTATCCTATATTTATCTTTGAATAGTGACTGTCCACTACTCATTTTTTTTTTAAAAAAAAAAGAATTTTTAAAAAAATTATCAGGTCTGCATCTCCGCAACATATAACAAGTACTTTAACAACACTTAAACATATCCATCCATAAGAAACTTTATTAAAAAATGGATTGAAAAAGTCCCTTTAATCGATCGATCATATCCATCGACTACTTTGCACTTTTTTCATGAAAAAAGCAGTTTTGTGCCCTTTTTTTGGTCCCAAAATTATTTATTTCCCAAGATTTCATAAAGGCTGTCTTTGGGTGTGTTTCATACTTTCATGGTCCGTGCATGCATGGGCTACATATATAATCACTTCTTGTGGAGCCCATTTAATCCCATAGATTCCGGTTACACATACACTCTTAGTTGAGAATATTATGAGGAGATCTCTTAATAATTGTTGGGGTTAATATTTTGATCGGCTAAGTGTCTGAGTGTGTAATGCAATAACGTTATTGGAGATTCAATTCCGACTATATATGTTATTAGGACAAATACCTCAGATAGTACGTTATTTGTGGATAGATCGATCGATTCACAACGTTTAATGAACTGAATAAATGATTATAACATACTACACTGCATGTCAAAAAGTTGTGACATTATGGGCAATAATAATAATGGCTCATGAATTATTCATATGAATTGAATCATGATTCAATACATGCCACCTAAAACATAACAACACTAATGTATAGTGGTATGATTGGCATGGTGGTGAAAATTGGTCACATCATTTTCTTCCAAAGTGGATTTTGTTTTGGCCCAAAAAGGGCTTTACTTTCACTTTACATTTTTTCATTGGAGATGACAAAAGGATGTCTTGATGGGTCCATATTTAGCTGGATGTATTACGACCAAGGTTATCCTTTGACTGGTAAGAAAACCTTTGCTTTGTGACTATAACATGCATCATGTCGTTAGGTAAAGCTGGTTTTGTGTAATATGCATGTTTTTTTTTTTTTTTTTTTTTTTTTTTTGACGAGGGAGCGTGCAATAGTTATAAGTTAATTATTTGCACTCTAGGGTATGGAGGGACAGCTCCTTCAAGGAGTCAAATTTAGAATATTGTGTTTACTAAGTCAAGTGTCTGACTAACTCGGCTAGAGTTTGTACCCAGCAAACACACAAATAATATTATGTTTAGCATATTATTATGATACAAGCTCAGGTATATGAAACCTACTAAAATTATGTGTTCGATTTTAGAAATAACATTTACGGCGGATTAGGAAGTCAATCGTTCAATAATAAAAAAATATATATATCATAAAATTATCGTCAGTCTCTTTCCCCCTTTATCCTTTCACAGCTCTATTTCACCATTTTTATCCTACCCTCTATTTCCTACTTTAATCTTTTGCTTCTCCATTCGATCTTCTCTTCTAGGAGTTTATTTTTACTCGAATTAAAACTTATTGATCAATACCATAAATGTATCATATCAATCCATATTAAAAATGAACACTTTATAAGTAAAAAATAATGTGATTTTATTGCAAGACACATTGTTTAATATATACTAGAATTTATATAAACATTTGGTGGAATAGTATTTGCTCAAATAATGTGGTGATGATGAATTTATTGGTCCCAATGATTCTTGGTGTAAAGGGGGTATGATAAAGCTTGGTGTTGATTAGACAAATATCAGGTACCAAAAATGAGAAAAAGCTATGGTTTGCATTTGTCCATGATGGGGGACTTTATTGTTTCCCATCAACACTATTAGCAAGAACCAAGATAGAAACAATAAGGGGTAATCATACTTAAGATAGCAAGAGATCCACACTTATAATTATAAGATTATGAGTTCAAATTCTTGTCCTTTTGATTTGAGTCGATCAGCTATGGGTAAAGGTTGATTTATTTTCTTGTGGTCCTTTGTCGACTAAAATCACAAGGTAAAGATAAATTGCGAATTGTGTAATCAACTCACCAATCAGACTCCGATTTATTTATTCCCTTTGACTATTTTAGTGTTGATTTGCATTAGTACCATCATAGATATGAATGTAAATGGTTGTTTTATCTTTTTTTTTTTTTTCTTCTTCTTCTTATAATTAATTATTTAGCCCTTTTTTCTCAATTTATACTTTTTTTTGAACAATAATGCATTCTATCAAGTATCAAGTTCCATCTGGTAGGAAGATGGTGCTAACTTCCATACTTAAGGAATTTGCTTTTTATTGAATGGGCTTTGGCCCATATAATCAAGACAATGAGGCCCAACAATCTCTATATTTGAGGCCCAAATAAATTAGAACTGGTTTGGGCGAATTAAACTCAAACCCAGCACATTTCGCTTTTTTTTTTTTTTTTTTCAAGAACAGATAAATAGTATTTTGCGAATATTTATGAAAAAATTCACAATCGCTATTTAAATGTGTGTTTTGAGTGAAACTTGATCTATTGACTTTCTAGGTTTGAACGTATTAGTTATAAATAACTTATACTAATTTATCTCTTTGTATTTTTTATCGACTAAGATTACAAAGTGTAATTTACTCATAACATACTTTTGAGTAGTGATGGTAAACTTCAATCGTAAATTAAAGATTATTACGTTAGAATTATAATTTCGTAATGTGTAATGTTGTAACTTCTTAAATAAAAGTCAATAATCATAACTTGTATGAGAGAGGAGTCAAACCGCCCAATTCTCCAATCACCCAACGTTAGCAATGATTAAGCTCGATGTTCTTTGACTACCTTCACCGACCAAATGAGATATTATTAAAGCAAGTCAACCTAGAAATTTATACTCATCACTTTACAAGAAAACAAAATATTAAAAATTCAATATATTTTTATTTTACATTTCTTTTTGAATAAAAAACATATCTTTTGTTTCCAAAATATTAAAAAATAAATAAATAAAACCCTTACTGAATACCTTTAAATTTTGTAATAAATTTCAATAAAAAACCATAGAAAAATTTCTTTTTTTCTATTCAACACTGAAAATACATATATACAATGTAGATTAATTTGATCCATTCATCTAAAATGATCAATGGCTAAAAAATTAAAAATAAAAAAAGGTCAATTTTATAAATATTATAAATTTTCATAATTTGACTCTATTTTCCCCTAATTGCTAGATCTAGATAGCTAGTATTTACCACACTTCGCATGGTAAATTTTATTTTGATAAAAATTATGCCCTATATATAAAGGTACACATCGTGAGTACATGTGATTAGGAGAAAATTAAGAACTAGTTAGAGTCATTTTTTTGAGAAGATATTTATAAATAAATAGTTTTAATTGATTCTTAATTTTCTCTTCATTGCAAAGTGTTCTTTAATACAAATCATATATATAACGTTACATTATCTTATTAAGATTCCAACATATCTCTTACATTACTTATTTAAAACAATTTTTCAAATTATTTAAAATTCAACCCGCCCACTCAAGAAAGGAGCACATGGTATTAACCAGTGAAGAATCCCAAGTCCAGCACTGACAAAATTCAGAGAAATTCTGAGTATTTTTCTACCGGTTAACTGAATTTGGATCATCATTTTCAAGATTTATTATTTCAAATTATATTTATTTAATATAAGTGTAAGTAAACTACTTAAAGTTGACACAATATAATGTAAACTGGGTTGTGGTTTCATGCTTTAGAGCAGCGTGCGGCATGTGCCATGGGACGGTCCGTCCTCGCCCAATTCCTTGCACTGTCGGTTTGGATATTTTCGATACAATTAATTAATAATCAAATAAAAATATCACATTATCACCCGCAAAAATTTCAAAATTTTATCAAATTATTAAGATTTATAAACTTATGACGCTTTTAGATGGGACTTGTGATCATGGTGTAAGATTGGTATTTGATAACTGTTTCGGACTCTAAATAATCTTAGTTTGAGTTTTTGTTAGATTTTATGTGGAGATCATACGTTTTGCTGATGCTCTATTTGATTGAGATCAAGTTCTGGTAATATTTAAATATATAAATTGACTAAGTTTCAGTCTAATTTTATTTGAGAATAGCTTTTACAAAATTAAAGTGTTTTTATATACACATATTTTTGAACTATAAACTTCGTAATTTGATGACTCGTTATTTTAGAGAAATATTATATTATACTTTACTCAACATCATAAAACACGCTGTAATTGGCTTGTTTTTCTAAGCCATAATATTTATATTTTTATTTTCTTTACATGGGGATGGAATAATACGGAATATTCTTTGAGAGTAGATAATTTTTCATTCACATTAAATTAGGTGGGGTTTCTGAAAACATGAATACTCCCACCAATCAACATGAATTAACTCTATCATACTTTAATATATATAATTGTAAAATTACCTAAAATATAATCATTAATCAAATAAAATAATATTACATTTCACAATCAAAACCAAACAGATAAGGTATTCTTATATTTCCAAAATCTCAAATTATCTTCCTGGAGATAATCTTATTACATGGATAATCTAAGATTCTGTAAACCTTGACCAATCAATTGGGATACTAATGTATCAAAAAGAAAAGACTCAACTCGTAAAGGCATAAGAATCATACTCCATTTTTGAGTGCGAGGTCATAATTATTTGGTGCGCTCTGTTCACGGATCTTGCCTCCTCCCTTCTTTATTACAACTTGTTGTCCCCTACTATTTAACCACCCGACCGCTCTCTGCTCTTCCTCTACATACACACAAGTCACAACCTCAAAATCCACACAATAATCTTACAACTTTAATCTCATCTAAATGGCTTCCTGGGTACGAGCAATCACTACTCCCTTCAGGAAAGCTCGCACGCTGTTCAATCATCAGCCCAGAGACAAGAACTCCCAGCAACAACCTGGTACAAACCTTAACCTCTATTGTTTTTACTTTGATACCATCTTACATTAACTCCTCCAGTACTTAATTAAGTTGAGGTTGAACATTTCCTTATATATTTGATGATTATATGCAGGCGAATATGAGAGTAGATTAACAGCAGATTTGCATGGTGAAGTTATGGCTTGTGGATATGAAGATGTTCATGTGATGTGGTCAATCTTGGATAAGTCTCGGCCCAGAACCTTGCAGTGTTAGCCCTTCTTTCAATCCTGACCATTCCATTTCGATCAATACATGGTTCAGATCATTCTCGATTTACCAACTATCTCGAATTTAGTTTTTTTTTTTTTTTCTTCAAATAGTTTGTAGTGTTGTACATGGAATTCATCAATCTTGTTAATGTGGTCGGAAGAAGGTGACGCCCAAAACAAGAAGAAAATTGGTGGCAATTACTTGAAATTTTTTTGGGTTTTTTGGCCATCAATTTAGTCTTTTTTTTTTTCTTCCAAAATTTAATGTAAATCCCATGATTAATGCTTTAAAATCATGGTGAGATTTATATATATCTATGCTTTGCATTTTATAATTCTAAAATCATATACTTTTTGCGATTTCTTCTTATTTTTAATATTTCAACATTATAATAAATGTGTTAAAGTTATAATTATAATTAAAATGTATTAATCAATAATGCAATGCACTATGCAAACTTTTCCAGACATGAATGTTCTTGGGTGGTCAAATGGGACATTACATGTGACATAGTGGGAGGGTTCACATGAATATATGCAGGAAATTAATGAATATTCATTTTTCACATAAATACCTTCATTATTATGGAGGCTCATGTGATGATCATTTGACTATTTCCTGGCGGTTAAGTCGACTGAAAATTAAAGTTGGCCGGTGAGTGAAAATAACAAATTAAATTATAGGCATTTGGACCACAAAATACCAACAAGGTTTAAATACGGAGTCCAATATATATATAATCTATATAAATTGACTGTTACAATAGTTACAAATCAAGTAATCAATGCCATAATAATGTCCATAAATATGAATTTATAACAGTATTTACTGTAATATATTATGTACTTTTAGTTAATAAATTATGTATCTATTACAATTAACATATTATGTCTATGTAGTTGGTTAATAAATTATGCACCCAGAATCCTGGAGTTAGTATATTATGTATGCTTAATTTATTTATGAGTACATAATCTTTTAACTAAAGATACATAATGTATTAACGACAAGTACACAATTTAAAGAGTTAATTCTAACGGATGGGTCCTTTGTCTTTGATGACAATTTCAAAAACAAATGTGGAAGGAAAATCCTAAAGCAGAATACAAATATGTACCAATTAAAGAAGAATTAACATAACCAATAAAAGAATTAATGCCATCATATCAATTACATACCAATATACAATTGGCAATAACAGAAAAAATACTAGTATGAGCAGAAGAGGGAGATCAAATCCCCATCTTGGAAAAAATACAGACTATAAAATGACAATGAATCAATGATATGTACATGAATTTCTTCAATTTGAGGTAACTGAAGATTGGTTTCTCTGGAACGGGCAAGCATTTCACAACCCAACCAATAGGCCAAGATGAAGATTGTTTTTTTTTTTTTTTTTTTGAAAGCAAAAACTGCTAAAATATATTAATTCAAAAGAGCTGTAACAAAGTCTAGCGAGACAGAGTCTCAGTACAAATTAGAAACTTTAGAAGCTAAAGTATGAGCAAATCACATTTGATTGTCTAGGAACCAAAAATAAAGGACACCGAAATAATTAAACGTAAACAATCATCAATCACAATTCCAGCATATGATCTAGGCTTGGTAAGAGTGATATAGCGGTGTAGAACAGAGCAATCAGTGTGTAAAGCAACCCTAGAAGCATCACGATAGGACGTCTTTGCAAGCTAAGGCCTCTGGCCGTAAGAGGGCTCGCACAATGAGGGAGTACGCCATTTGTTGACGCCAAGAAATGGCCATCCGCTGAAAGGAGGACGGCTACATATGCTGTCGCACCTGCTGCGACCGAGCAGCTTACGTCGAAGAAGCAGCGAAATGAGGTGGCCTGAGGCTGCTGCCGTGAAATGGCAGTGTGGTGGCCTCCGGCTGCACGACAGAGCATTTTCCCATACGGTTCACATCCCTAGGTTTAAAAATATTTCTGAGAATAGACAAATCCCTTGAATTAGTATTCTCATCAATTAAATATGAAACTTTAGGTCCTTTAACATCCTATATTTCATTAAAAACTTTATATTGTGTTTAATGAACAAACAATCATTATTTAACAACCCTACTTGTACACAAAAAGTAAAATTCCTCACCCCAAGCCCATATTCTGACCCAACAAAATTTGTGGATATGCTAAATCATGACGACTCACAACCCATTAAATGGGAGGATTACGGTTCTCACAAGGAACCCATCATATTGGGTGCTCGATGAAATTTCTGAAGGTATATAGTAGTAAATCACAATGTGATTTAGGGTGTGTTTGGAAACCCGGAAAATGATTTCTAGAAATCATTTTCCGAGTTTTTGGTGTTTGGCTTGGCAAGGAAAAGAGAAGTCAAAGGAAAATGGCTTGAAGTCAATGGAAAATAAGCCCTCTTTTATGGAAAATGACTTCCCCCTTTTTTTGGGGAAGTCATTTTCCACTATTTGTTCTCTACAGCCAGATGGTCCACACATAGGGGCGGGAATAGGCCAGGCCCGTTCATAGGGGCCTAAAGCCCGACCTATTTAAGGCCTACATAGGCTTGACTTGTTTAGTAAAAAGGTTAGGCTTGGGCCCATTTTTAAACCTATTAAACTAAACAAGCCAGATCAGACCTATTTATATCAAGCTTGGCCTTCAAGCCTACAGGCCTAGCCTATTTACACACACACACACACATATAAGTTAGTATATATATTCTATTTTATACTTAATATATTTTTATATTTACAATATAATTCCAAGTATATATAATTATCAAACCCTAATCCTCCACCTCCAAAATCACATTCTAAATTCTGATTCAAATATAAACATTGTTGTTAATCCTATTATAAGTGATCTTATTGTTTAATTGTTCTTACTGTTAAATATTTAATGAAGTGTCATGACTTAATTATGTGAGTTGATTGTTAACTATTTATGAGATTATATAGGATGACAATCAATAATACAATTGAATTCATTCCTAAACAAGTTAACAAGCATGTTGAAGTTATGACTTGTTATATTTTATTTTATATATGTTTTAATACTATTATGTTTGCATTGTGGCGATATACTTATGTAGTTATATATTAATTTTGTATTAGCTAGGTATATTTTTTAAATTATTTAGAAATACTAATTAAAGTTTTTAAAAAGACTTAATATATAGGTTTTAACTATGCTCAAAACAGAACTTACTTTGAAGCCTTTTTAATGGCCTACATATTAAACAGGCTTTTAAAGAGGCTTCAGGCTAGGCCAGGCTAATTGTAGGCTCAGGCTTGAGCCTAACAAAAATCCTACATACAGGCTCAGGTCCAGGCCTAATTTTCTAAAGCTCGATTCGGCCTATTTCCACCCCTATCCACACAGTTGTATGGACCATAAATAAAAAATAAAATTTGTGAAAGAGAAAATTGTAATTTATATCCCTCACATATATGTCAATTATCAATGTCACCCTTAAATTATTAATTGTATAAATATTGTCCCTCAATTTTCAAAACCTAACATATTCCCCTCCCCTCGTGCCATTTCGCACAAAGAATGTATCCAAAAACCTAGTTAACTTCACTAATTAAGACCTTAATATATACGGAGTAAAATCTTACAGGTCGGAATCGGTGGTGAGTTTGGTCATCATGGCGCCCCAGGCGGTGTTCATGCCGACAGAAGTTACCAAGAATCTGCCATGTCCGGCAGCCACTTTCGTCCCGGACATGAGGAACGGATTCCGATAATGATTGATCCCTACGTGATCACTCTTGCCGGTCAGGCTCGATTCATCGACCTTCAATGAGTGCCCTTCCACCAACAATCCATCCGCCGGGACTTGATCTCCGATCTTCAAGCAGACAATATCTCCGACAACGATCTCGAAGACGGAAACCTGCCGCCGTCTCCCGGCCCTGACAACCTCAACCGGAATGTTCTTGCTAATCTTCAACAGCTTATCGAACAGTCTGCTCCGCCGGAAATTGATGAGAGCGGAAAAGAAGATTACCCGAAAGAAGTTGACAAACATACTCCCTCTATCCCACCATCCTTCCTTGATTCCATCCTTTTTGATCCCAAACGCTCGCTCTAAAACAGCACAAGCGAAGGCGATCACAAACGCCTCCCAGACAATATGGACGAGATTTTTGGCCGGCGGCTTACTGTAAGTGTTGCTTCCAAATGCTTGGTTTCTACGCGAAATATCCTGGTCGTCGCCATAGATTCCGTCGTGCAAATTAGTGTCCAGAGAAGAAGAAAGGCCTCCAATTCCACCAAGATTAGCAAGATGCTTGAGCCTTTTCTCCTTGACAATCTTTGCAAGGCTTGACTGATCAAGATTCTGGAAACAACGAGGGTGTTCTTCATCATCATCATCATCATCCACGTCAATGGATAATCTGTCAGATTGTTCAGGAGACACTTTCCTGTCGGGATTCTTGAGAAGATATCTGTAAGATAATGGAGCTTCGAGGAGCTTGGCACTGTGATTTTGTTTAGAATACTGGCGGAATGCATTCAAACATTTGATCATAGAAAGGGCAAGACGCCATCTTTTCTTGCTTGATAACCTCAGTTCCGTTTCCAGTGGCAGGTCGATGACAACAATGTCCATGCTGGCCAAAATGGCTAACAGATTTCTCTCGTGAAGCAGTAAATGAAGAAAGGATGAAAGGTATGTTTGTAATTGCTATATATCAATCTTGAACCACAAGCTGTCCACTAGTACTGTACTCTAAGTGTTGAGAATTGGTGACTGGGTTTCGATTCGTAACATGATGAGTTCCCGACATGAATTTATATAGGTACATACTAAAGAATCTGTTCACGAACCGCGTCTAAGAGAGACGGTGTTCATATTTACTTTTTAAATGAGTGGGATGTGCGTTGGCGTCAATTCAGATGGAGCACAATGCTAAGTTTGGGGCTACTTTCCTCGTGTTTACTCCCTACTTTATGCTATAAAAACACCAACTTTTAAATGAGTGGAATGTGAATGTGTATTGGATAAATTCTTATTAGCTTCTAAGTAATACCCGCATATCATAACAGAGCGTTTGATTGGAAGGAAGAAATTAGGTGGGAAAAGAATTGTAATTCCATGATTATTTTTAGCACTACAAACAATCTGATCAGGACTTCAAGTATCACTCTTTAACATATAATAATGATTTTCCATATAATCATATTAATATAAGTTTGTACCCTCTCCCTTTCCCTTCATTACTTGCTTGATGTACTAAACTGTCTTACATGTTTCCACATGTTTGTGCTTACAACAAGATCAAATCTATATTTTATTTTTTTAATCTCTGATAAGATTCGGGGATGGTGCTGGCAAAGCAAAGCTTATAACACTATTTTTTAATTGGTTGACTAGTTGAGTTGTACAGTTGTGCCCCTAGAGCGCAGCACAATCATGTTAATATACATGATAACCACTTGGGGTATAGTTGAGTGGAAGCGACCCATCAATCTTTAATCAAACATTAAGGGATCGATTCTTGACCTTGAATGTGGAGCGCAACAGTCTTAAATATCTATGTCAGGTATCACATCGTTGGAGGTGTCTATAATTAAGTGCCCTTAGAAGTGTCAATAATTTAACAAGGGTATTAATCATTGTAAAAAGGCTGAGTAATGTAATAATCAACACTTTAAAATTTTTCTATAAAGTTGCCATATGGAATAATGAAAAATCACATCAACAAAGCATCCAAAGCCGGTATTAAAATGAAATTTTAATTAAAGAAGAATCATCATACTTAACCAATAAAAAAATTAATGCCATCATATCAATTACGTACCAATATACAATGCAATAACAGAATAAAAAAATACTAGTATGGGCAGAAGAGGGAGATCAAATCCCCCACTGGGAAAGAATACAGAATATAAAATGACAATGATATTTACATGAATTTCTTCAATTTGAGGTAACTGAAGATTGGTCTCTCAGGAACTGGCAAGCATTTCACAACCCAACCAATAGGCCAAGATGCAGCTGCTAATCCCAAACACAATCCCCATTGTCCCCAGTTTAATCTCTCTGTGTCAGCAAACTTCTTCAGAAACTCCACCATAACCACCTGAAGCACAACTGTTATGCAGATAATCCCCACAAACAGCTTATTCTTGTGTATCCCTTGGAAAACATTCCTCTTCTCGAGCTTCCTCGCGTTGAACTCGTTGAACACTTGACAAAGGACGAACGTGTTAAAGATCAGCGTGTCATTCACCCCCTTGCTCACCCCGAAGATTGATTCCCCTCTGAATTGCAGGACAAGCAGAATGGATATCTGGTATAGGGCCTGAGCTAGCAGGTTCCTCCACATTATGTTTGTGATCAGTGGCTCAGTTCTGCCCACGGGTGGCCTGTCCATGAGCTCTTTTGTTGGTTTTTCGGTGGCGAGGGCTAATGCTCCTAAGGTGTCCATGATGAGATTGACCCAGAGAAGCTGCACTGCTGAGAGGGGGACTTCTCCTGCAGACACTGCTGCCACGAAGTTGATCACGAGGGCTGCCACGTTTACTGTGAGCTGAAATTGGATGAATTTCTGGATGTTATTGTAGACGCATCTTCCCCACATCAAGACGGTGGCTACAGAAGCAAAGTTGTCGTCCAAAATGACAATGTCTGAGCTCTCTTTAGCCACTTCTGTGCCCTGGATCCCCATGGAGAGTCCTATGTCGGCTTCTTTTAGAGCTGGGGCGTCGTTCGTGCCATCTCCTGTGACTGCAACTACATGGCCTTTTTTCTTCAGGCACTGCACCATTAGGAGTTTGTCGAAAGGCGAGGATCTTGCCATTACACGGATGGTTTCTACTCGTGCCATCCGTTGTGCTTCTGTTAGGTTTCTGAACTCGAACCCTTCTATGACTGATCCTTCTTCTGGTGTTTGGTTAGGATGCAGAATGCCACATTCTGTGGCTATTGCCTTTGCTGTGAAGATGTTATCTCCGGTTATCATCTTGATGTTCACCCCCGCGAATTGGCAGGATTCGACGGCTTTCTTCACACCATCTCTGCAGGGATCTTTCAGGCCTACTAGTCCTAGAAGAGTTAGGCTATCTTCTGGAACTGAAAGTTGTGTTTCTGAGACATGTTTGTGTGCAAAGCCTATGCATCTGAGGCTGCTGGCAGCCATGCCTTGGATCATTTGCTCGAATTTCGCTCTCTCGTTGCTATCCAGAGATTTCTTATTCCCTTCCAGATCATAGTAATGTGAACACATTCCAAGGATCATTTCTGCAGCTCCTTTCCAGTGAACATGAACTGTGTTATCTGTAGCCTTTTTCATGGAAACCCCACTCCTCTTTTTCTCTGAATTGAATGCTTCCACATGAAGAACAGTGAAGTTTCTCTTCACTTCCTCCATATCCATGCTAAGCTCCTCAACAGCCCAGGATAAAATGGCTTTCTCTGTTGGACTCCCTGAGAACTCGAAACCCAAACCCGAATCATCTGACCTGAAAACACTGCCTGTTGTGTTAAGACCAACCCCTTGGTGGAATAATTCAAGAACTCCCCCTGCAATTTCAGCTTTGTTCTTCCCCTCCATGGACTCTTTTCCCAGCCAGAACTTTGTCACCTTCATCTTATTCTGAGTCAAAGTTCCTGTTTTATCAGTGCAGATTGTTGTGGCAGACCCCATTGTCTCACAAGCAGAGAGCTTCCTCACCATTGCCTGATCACTCATCATTCTCTTCATGGAATATGCGAGAGTAAGAGTTACAGCAAGAGGCAACCCTTCTGGAATTGCCACGACGACAATGGTGACGGCAGCGGCTATGATTCCCACCACGGAATTGATCACGTCATCCGCCTTCGTCTTGCTCCCGTTGAACTCTTTGTTCCCGTTTTCATCCTTAGTGTGTCCGGTGAAATATCGTACCAACAAGACAACCAGTACGAGGAATGCCACTGCTAAACCAACCTTTCCTATGGATGAAGTAAGCTTGTTTAACCTCGTCTGCAATGGCGTCTCCTCACTGTTACATCATGAATTCAATAAAAAAACTTAATTAGCAGAAGTACCTCCAATCATAATAGAGTAAATTGAAGCATGTGCTTAGATTCAAACTCATGACCTTTGGTCTGACTCTAATACCAAATTGAAGCATGTGGTCCATCTCAACTAAAAATCTAAGTTTATAGTTGGATTGCACATTAATGGCTATACTCGAGTATCTATAAACCTAGTTAACCCACTTGTAAGACCTTAATATATAAAATATTAATTACCTGCCGGAATCGCTGCTGATTTCGCTCATCATGGCGCCCCAGGCGGTGTTCATGCCGACAGAAGTTACCAAGAATCTTCCATATCCGTCAGCCACTTTCGTCCCGGAAATAAGGAACGGATTCTGATCATGATTGATCTCCACGTGATCACTCTCGCCGGTCATGCTCGATTCATCGACCTGCAACGAGTGGCCTTCCACCAACAATCCGTCGGCCGGGACTTGATCTCCGATCTTCAAGCAGACAATATCTCCGACAACGATCTCGAAGATGGAAACCTGCCGCCGTCTTCCGGCCCTGACAACCTCAACCGGAATGTTCTTGCTGATCTTGGACAGCTTATCGAACTGTCTGCTCTGCCGGAAATTGCTGAGAGCGGAAACGGAGATTACCAGAAAGACGGCGACAAATATGCTCCCTCCATCGTACCATCCTTCCTTGATTCCATCCTCTTTGATCCCAAACGCGAGCGATAAAACAGCACAAGCCAAGAGGATAATAATGGTGGGATCTCTGAACGCCTCCCAGACAAAATGGAAGAGATTCTTGGCCGGCGGCTTACTGTAAGTGTTGCTTCCAAATGCTTGGTTTCTACGCGAAATATCCTGGTCGTCGCCATAGATTCCGTCGTCCAAATTAGTGTCCAGAGAAGAAGAAATGCCTGCAATCCCACCAAGATTAGTAAGATGCTCGAGGCTTTTCTCCTTGACAATCTTTGCAAGGCTTGACTGATCAAGATTCTGGAAACAACGAGGGTGTTCTTCATCATCATCATACACGTCAATGGATAATCTGTCAGATTGTTCAGGTGACACTTTCCTGGAGGGATTCTTGAGAAGATATCTGTAAGATGGAGCTTGGAAGAGCTTGGCACAGTGATTTTGTTTAGAATAATGGCGGAATGCATTCAAACATTTGATCATAGAAAGTGCAAGACGCCATCTTTTCTTGCTTGATAACCTCAGCTCCGTTTTCAGTGGCAGGTCGATGACAACAATGTCCATGCTGGCCAAAATGGCTTGTAGATTACTCTCGTGAACCTGTAAAGGAAGAAAAGGATGAAAGGTATGTTTGTAATTGCTATATATCAATCTTGAACGACAAGCTAAGCTGTCCACTAATGAAAGTGTTCAGAATTGATGAATGGGTTTCGATTTGTAACATGATGATTTCCTCGTATGTATTTATAAATCGGTTCGCCGCGTCTGAGAAAGGCGGTGATGAATAGGATGCGTTGGGTTACCTTCGTCGTGTTTACTCCGTATTATAATATAACCGCCAACTTTCATAATAGCCGTTAAATGAATTTTCTTTATTTTTTTATTTTTAAAAAAGCTGACGTCGTGTACTTTTTCCTGTGATGTTTGACTATTCTCAAATATTTTCTTCAACATCTTTACAAGTAATCTAAAAATTTATGTATACAATTTGGACAACATTTCTTCCTACACACAAAGCACTTTCATTAGTTAGCATTGTATATTTTACTTCTTGCGGGTCAAGCATACTATAAATATATGTTTGCTTTCTTCTACGATCTTCGTTGAAAATAATTGGAAGAAATGATCAAATCTTCCAATATTTTTCTGATCATGTTTTGCAAATTAGGAAGTTATAGAACACATTTCCACAATATATGTGTTGCAATCTTCTAATATTTTT